TCGGTCAAATCATTCAATTCTTGGCCACTTTCCTTGTATATTCCGGTCGGTATCCGGTTTATCGGTTGGGTTTAGACTCCATCATGAGGCCTCCAGTTCTGAACCATCTTTCAATATTTGGGGCCTTCACTAATTCGCTCATGTACTACAGACTGATTTGACTAGCGCGCTGTGGGTACCTATTTGAGTGAGTAGCCATCCGAAGGTAGCATGTCGCACTTAGGCGTCTAGACCAATTTCCTTTTATGGACTGTCCTCACATTCATGAGACCCCTTGCACCTCGTACCGGCGAGGCTTGAGCTAAAAAGAGCTCAGAAAGAAATCGCATCGTCGAATTTAAAGTGATATAGATCACAGAGAAAAAAATACAACTGATGCACGGTCTCGACTTCTGCCACGTTGCAACCCCTAGATCTTGGCAACAGACTAAGGATAAAGATCTCACCCTTTCTCCAGCCAGGTGGGTAAAGACGGGTATGGCGTATGGATTGCTTCCCATGATTGTGAGAATTTGGCTCTCTTACAACGCGCTTTTAGGATATGAGAAATACTGAGCTGATGAAGGACGTTTGACCTCTGTTCACCCTTACTGTATGGTCCGGAAATGAGAAATAAAATGAGAAACGTCTTCTGGAATGCGGGCGCAGCGAAGAGGCAGTGACTTAATCATCTGACATTTGGACATTCAGCTCTCGAATCATAGCCTTGCAAGCCACATGGCTCTGGCCGATCTTCTTAACATTCTTTTCAGCTCGTGCAAGACAGGCTCATAAAGGACCTAATGAGCAACTTGACAGGTCGACTGACAATTTAGCATCTGTCTTCCATCATTCATATTAATTCCCTAATCTCTATACTTTTGTGCTCTTTTTCTTATTCTTTGATTTTTTTTATTATTGTTATTTTTTCTTTTTTTGAAAAAATTCGCAAGCTCTGGATAGAATATCTCTGGACGAAAATTACTGTATATCAATTAACCATGTAGTTTTATCCCTAATGTAGAGAGTATTCAGCTCGCGTATAACATTCCCAGCATGAAATGGAGCAGTGGACCAATCTCATCATTCCCTAAGGTTCCAGTATCAATTTCTTGACTCTTGCGACTCGCCTAAACCTTCAATATTGGACTAGCTCATCCGCTAGGCCGCAAGGTGTCCGCAAAGCGTATTCGTGAAGCTCCACCTGTAGGGCTGAGACAAGGTAGTAGCACCAAAGTATGATAGTTCATTGGTTCTTTTCTTAGCGCTGTTAAGATTTACTAAATCCGGCAAGATGCATTCTTTAGCACCCGCCAATCATGTTTTTTGGTTGCCGAGCCCTTCGACTATTGCATCCTATGTACCAATCTCAATTCGGAGACCAAAAGGCTGCTGTTTCCCCCTGTTTCCCTTTGCCAAGGTTGCACCGTCTGTGTAAGGCAAGGAGCGATACGAAGTAGGTACATTTTTCTTCAATTCTGGCCTTTGAACAGTGGTCATGAATCTTCATCTCACCGCTGACTGTCACGAAGATCCTTGCCAGTCTACTGGGTCCGATCTCATCTGACAGGGGTCTGAACCACTCAGGGTAGGGAGATGAGCTGGACTTGTCAGCGAGACCTTCCATCCAGCATCTAGAAGCCTGCTCTTAGGGCGGTGGAGGGCGGAAATGACTCGGTTGTAAATCTGACCAGCCCCGACAGTCGTGATCGATTATGATCTCCTCTGTAATATCCGCCCATGCATCTGCAGGCTTAATGAGTTCCAGCCTTGAATGAGTTTGTTCTCTGAAACTCATGGGTAGTCCAGTGTTTTCCCAATTCTGTTCCTCACTTCCCTTCTTTCACCCCCCACCACCATAAAGTAAAGTAAATAGGCCACCTAATGTCTTAAATTAGCTCTTCACATTCCACCAAATGATCCGGGCCATTAACCAGCGAGTAGTTGAGTGCGAGACTCCAATCCAAGGATTAGGCGTGCCATAATCCCTGCCATGAGTCCCCACCTAACCAACATAACCATATATTACTGCCCAGCTATTGGTCGAAACGAGCAAACTAGATGCTCGTCTTCATACTACGTGGGTAACTACCATAGAAATGACAAATAATGCAAGGCTTGATTAATTTACTACTTCAATGACTATTTTTACGCGTTCTCAGATGTACTTCCGCATTGTCTCTGCAGTATCTTTCTGCAGTTTCACAGAATAATGCTCCAGGCTACGACGCATCGGTCTCCGCTAAGCCCGACGGGCGTACCAGAATCCTATATCCGGCCGCCCCCTTGTGCAGAAAGATACATGGGCTAAGCACACCAAAAGACTTGACTTCTGACCAGCGATTCATCGTCTACAGCTCACAAGCCTTAGGATCAAATTGCTCTCTTATGGACGGACTACTGACGGACCACTCCGTGGAATCAGTGGATACTTATCCGCTTCTCGGCCGGTGGAGCCGTGGAAGACTTGCTAGTGCGGGCCCTGCGGGGACTTTAACGGTGTACAGTGTTTCGTCATGATTTATCCGCAGCGGCTGAGGGTCAGGTGAACCTGCTAAATGTTAAGAATCAAATGTTATTGACTGACCTTGCGATGGGGGCTGCAACTTTGCGGATTGATAATCACCTATTTGATTAAGTTGAGATGTCAAATCGCTCCATAATCGTCTTGTGGTCATTGGTGGTCCCGTGGGTAGAAACATGGTCCGGTCTCTGCTCAGATGCCAAAGCTCGAATCAAAGCCCGCACAACTACATGGCAAGAGCCTCAAGTCCGCCATTTGGGGTGCAAGACTCGGCTTGAGCCGATCATACTGTAAATTCGATAGCCAAGACCATAAGGTATCGAATGATTTCTCAATTCTCCTCAGTTGTATGGATTATCGCGTCAACTGAATCACAACATCTCACTTCTTCAGCGTCATAGACATTGCCTCCCATTGATTCTTGCATTAGTCCCATTTTGAAATTGTATGGTATGTGTACTTTTGGATTCGTAGCTCACTTTCCACTCCTGAGCGAATTTGAGAATTAATTGCGCTAAACCGGTGATTGTCTTTCTTAACTCCGCGTGATTCGGACGGAGAAAACAATCAGCCCTTTGGCTTGCATATCATGGATAAGACTACCTTTCCGGCCCACATGGTTATCGCACTGTAGTGGCATACCATAATGACTATCTTCAACCTACTACTGAGAGAGGACGATGGATACAATAGCTTAGTGACACTTGTACTACATTCTTCATGACAGGCAGCTATGCAGTGTGCAATCATGAGTGCCTTTCATAGGAGAAAGGAAAAATGCCAATATCCAAGGACTAAGGTAGATTGCGTTCTTCCAGCTTCCACCCCGTGATTAGGTCGAATGAAACGAGTCTGGGAATGAGGCTCAGCGGACCCCCCTTCCACAGTCCCACCCATTCCCCCTATTCGTCCATTCTACAATCTGTGCTCCCTACGGCGATGATCATTCTCTGGCAGTTTCGAAATGATCTCGACATGATGCTTGCAACGTGGACTCATTTGTCAGTCACTCATGCAGCCCCAGAGTAGATAGCATGGTGTATGTGTTTGCACTCCAGTCTGAATGATGACTATCTACCTTTTAATGAGAGTCTACTCCGTACACAGCCTTGTTTGCAAACAAGGTTCCTTGTAAGGCTAGTCCGTAAAGGGCAACGCTACGTATTCGGGCAGTATGTATGTCTCATTGGACTGTGACTGTGTTTCGCTTTCAATCTGATCCAGTGAATGAGAATTCACATTCAATAATAGAGACACCGTAAGTACTTAGGTTCTGACTGGGCTGTCTCATGGAGGCTTTCCAGTCATTCCAGCCGCTACCTACCATCCTGTGAAATTGGGCCGGCCCGGATGAAAACATTACACCGAGTATGTTTTCATGGATCCTGCCGTAGTGGAGGATCATGAATCATCTGGTGGCTGCCTGGGCCCTGGGACGCAGAAAGTCTATTGGAAACGTCCAAATGTCCAGCTGGTTGGGTTCAAGAATTGAGATACACATGAATATGGACATATAGACTTTGGGTATTCGCACACAAACCATCTTAATCTTTGCCTGACCGTTTATGACACTCCTTAGTTCTTGGTCGAGGCGCAACGGGTCGGATACCAGATTGGGTTTAGATGCTGAGAGGGGTACCTGTCATGCACGGAGTAAAGGTGCGTGGTAAGGAGGAGGTACCCTGTTACAGCCCGATTAGATACCAATCTAGATACGATCGACCAGGTAGGTACTCGACATGAAGAATGGTCATACAGATAGGGAAGACGTTGTAATCCACTTGTCAGCTTTTGTCCATTCGAAGTATGTCAATGCTTCTCAGCCTCAAAATCGTCAATGCTACAGTGTCATTCCTCCGGAAGTAAGCCTCCCTTGACTTTCTTCTCAATAAGAAGATTTTACAATTCTTCAGCTTGGGCAGTCTTCATGATCATTGTAGCCTCTGCCTACATGGCTGAGCCCTGCGCTTTAGGCGTCCAGCGCCCGCTGCGACGCGAGAGGACCACCCGCGACATTGCGCTCTGTAACAAGCCAGCCAGCACATTCAGCAAGCTGCGTCGAATCTGACTCGTGTACACATCGTAGCATGCTGGCTGTGCGCGTACGTCACGTATCTGGAGAGCGGCTATGGTGCAGCGCTGATCATCTCGCTCTCGCTCTCGTTTGGCCAAAGGTAAGGGCGTTAACATATCGCTTCACGTCGATTCCAAATGCAGTGGGCCACCGAGTGCGAACAGAATGAGAAGCTCAGTCTCTCGATCAATGCTCCAACATGCGATTTATGAAATCAAAATGTGTCTGTTCTAATGTCTCAAACTCACAAACAGACCCATACACATTTTAACGGCAGCGCTCATGCTAGGCAGGACACAAGTATGTGCAAAATAAAGCCGTGATGCTAAAGAAAAATAGAATTCCCTGAATCTTTAGTCCAACCCCTTTGAGATAGCAAAAGAAATTCCAAAAGCAGATCGTGAACAAAGAAACAGTATCCATTTAGAGGACATAACTGTAGACAATGTCAATCTGGGACCGTTGCGCACGTTGAATTAAACATCACAATTAACTTACCTCCACGGGTGTTCCTCATCACCGTACTGGATGTCCTCAATCCAGTTCTTCATCTGAAGAGCAATCTCGCCAGCCTCCTCATTTTGCTTCAATCCGCAGTCAACCATCTTACCCCTGTAGCTAATGGTTCGCACAGGGCTGACAATGGCTGCGGTACCGGCTCCAAAGACCTCAATCAGTCTTCCTTCCTCAGAAGCCTCGGCAACCTCAGACATCCTAATTTTGCGCTCAGACACGGCCCAGCCCTTGGGGACGAGTCTCTCGCGCGCGAGCCCCAAGACAGAGTCTCTGGTTACGCCCTCGAGGATGGTTCCATCTAAAGGAGCGGTCACTAGCTCCTTCTGTCCGGTCTCCTTGTTCTTCAAAGCAATGAAAAGGTTCATGGTGCCAACTTCTGTCACGTACTCCTCCTCACCAAATAGCCACAGGTTCTGCTGGAAGCCCCGAGAAGCAGCCTTCAACTGAGGCAGAACACATGGAGCATAGTTTGCTCCAAGTTTCTTATCTCCAACACCGCCGGGCCAGGCACGGACGGCATAGTCAGTCGCCTCGAGTGAAATGGCCTTGAAGCCAGTAGGGTAGTAGGGGCCAACGGGGCTGGCAATGACGAAGAGGAGGGCAGAGCCAGGTGGCCCAACGCCAAGGGTACTTTGGGTGCCAATCATTGTAGGTCGCAGGTACAGGGAGTAACCACGTGCACTATCAGAAGTCAGCGGCAAACGGTTCAAGGGGGTAATGACAACTACCCACTCAGGAATGAATCTGCTGTCTAGTCTCACAAAGTCCCCAATGAGCTTGATGAGAGCTTCGCCATCGAAATTAGGCAGAGCAATACGCTCAGAAGACTTGTTAAGGCGCGCCATGTTCTTGTCTGGGCGGAACAAACGGATCTGACCCTTCTTGTCCTTGTAAGCCTTCATGCCCTCGAAACACTCGAAAGCATAATGGAACACGCAAGCGGAAGGGTCGAGGCTAAGGTTTTGGTACGGAACGATGCGAGGAGCGTGCCAACCATCGGCCGCTGACCATTCAATGGAAAGCATATGATCTAAAAGATAGATACGCATTAGTTCCTAGATTGGTACATGACCGATTTCGGACAACAAGGTGCCCATACCAGTGAAGGTCTTTCCGAAAACAAGATCTTTTGGTGCCTGCAGCTCCTTAGGTGTAGTAGTCTTTGTAATTGTGAGCTTCGAAGGGTCAAGACCGGCCAGTTGGGATGCAGGAGCTGGTGTTGCGCTGAAGTATCGCTGCCATGACTGGTTTGTCGCGGGATTCTGAACTCGCACACGCGCGGAAGCAAAGCTATGCAACGCCCGATGACGGGTCAATTGACGCAGCGAGCTCATGATTTTGCAATATTCGACCAGCTGCGACACTTCGGGATCGAAGGAGTTCAAAGATCAGCGAAAGAGTCCGTCAATGGGTGAAATTGGAAAGAGAGAAAACAGTGACAGGTGGCCGGGCAATGGAGCTTAAAAGGCGGAGGCGATGACTCCTCCCGCCGGACCCAAGAGACAACTCCGAAGAGTCCAGTTTTCGTGTCATACATGCATCAAGCGATATGTGTGACACACCTCAAACTAGTCAATGTCGGTGCAGAGCGCCGAGCAGTCTCAATCAGGAATTTCTCGGTGTCGGAAGTTGAAATAACAACCGTTGCAAAGCACAATTGAAGGGACAAAATGTTCTCTCAGTGGAGTTCATGTCCGACGTCGGCGGGCCCAGTAGGACGGGCCGGCAATAGCCGTTAGTCAGCTTCGGGAGATAAAATGTCACGTGAAGTTCTTTGTATGATTGAGATGACATAAGCCAGCCATTTGGCAGCCCCTTTCACGTGACTTCTTTAGCATGCAATTGACCACAGCGTTGATGGGGGGCCATGTCCACATCAGGCATGGGGCCCAAAAGGCCTCAAAGTTCCGCGGAAGTTGTGAGCAAAGTCAATGGCATTATTTTCGAACAGTTTCAGTTACTGATCATAGCCTTCATCGTGGATCCTTGCATTTCTTTCAGTAAGGGTTAATCTGGTTGGTCTACAGGTACCTTTGACTTGTGGCATCTGCGGTGTTTCCCATCTGGGAGAGACAGGCTAGTTTCTTTCAAGTATATTTCCATTCTTGAGGTTCTGATGCCCTGAAAAAGAAAATGTTTTCTTCTGCTCTCAAAACGCTGAGTTCCAACATATCGGCAAATTACCAAATATCTCCGCAACCAACCGTGGTTTCTGGGCCATGGAGAATTCATGATGGAAAGAAGAAATCCACAGGTACCACTGCTTCCATCTTCATACTTGACAGAAAATTGCTTGAATCCAGCCCAAGTGGATTTGGAAGTCGGTCCGGCTCGTCATTGAAGAAATTGCAGGAGGATGTGGTCGAGAGGTTAAAGCGTGAGGCCAGCAATCTTGCGCGTCTCAGACATCCATCAATCCTCCAGGTATTAGAACCCGTGGAAGAGACGCGTGGTGGTGGTCTCATGTTTGTGACAGAACCAATTACCACGTCCCTGGCCGGTTTGTTGCGGGAAAAAGATGCGCAAGAGAGAACGTCGAGGATCGGCTCCAGACCCAGCCATTATATGGTGGAAGAGCCAGACGGAACTCGACGGCGGAGAGACCTCGAGATTGATGAACTAGAAATTCAAAAGGGACTTTTACAGGTAGCTAAGGGTCTGGAGTTTCTGCATGAGTCTGCAGGCCTTGTCCACGGGAACTTGAATCCTGAAGCCATCTACATAAATGCCAAGTCCGATTGGAAAATCTCCGGACTTGGATTTGCGGGGCCTCCTAACTCTGCAGAGTCTCGATCATCTCTTCCCCCCTTGGCTCTGTCAGAAGTTCTCTACCAAGATCCACGGCTTCCCCAGTCAGTGCAGTTGAATCTGGACTATACGTCCCCCGACTTCGCGCTGGACTCTAATGTGACTACTGCTGCCGACATGTTCTCACTGGGACTCGTCATCATCGCCCTCTATAATTCGCCTCATGTCTCTCCGCTGCAAGCGCATTCGAATTTGAACTCTTACAAGAAGCTGCTAAGCTCTCCATCTTCCACTCCATCGCAGGGCAACAATTTCCTCTGCTCGGGTCCTATTCCGAAAGATCTCTTGACACATCTATTGCCTAGGTTGATAGCAAGGCGACCAGCTCAGCGCTTGAATGCCCGAGAGTTCCAGCAATCTCAGTACTTTGACAATATCTTGGTATCTACCATCCGCTTTTTGGAATCCCTGCCAGCCAAGAATGCAAATGAAAAATCACAGTTCATGCGAGGACTACAACGCGTATTACCCGAATTTCCTCCAGCCGTTCTAGAAAGGAAAGTTTTGGGCGCTTTATTGGAAGAATTGAAGGATCGCGAGCTGTTGCCTCTGATCCTGCAGAATGTTTTTGCGATACTGCAGCGCGTTTCAAACGCACGTCGAACTCTCCCTGAGAAAGTTATTCCTCGGCTCAAGGAAATATTCCTTGCACATCAATCAGGAAAAGGGACTGTTCAGGAGCGTGACTCCAAGAAGGATGCGGGTTTGATGGTAGTGCTAGAAAACATGAATGTCGTCGCAGAGAATTGCTCGGGAAAGGAATTCAAGGACGGTGAGTCAGCTTTTCATCGTGCCTTTGCTCAGGTGACTGACCCTATTAGACATTCTGCCGCTGATTCGGCTTGGTTTGGACTCGCCCACCCATTCCCTGGTTGACGCTGCAATCAAATGCTTGCCAGTCATCCTTCCGGTTTTGGATTTCAGCACTGTTAAGAATGAAGTCTTTCCTCCAATCGCCTCTACGTTCAGCCGGACCAGCAGCCTTGCCATCAAAGTGCGCTGCCTGGAGGCATTCACTGTCCTTTGTGGAGGTTCCACTGGCGACGAGGCGGTCTCCGAGGACGGTCTGACTGGCATTGCTGCAGTTAAAAAGCCGACATCCGTCAAGCCTTCCATCCTAGACAAATATACCATACAGGAGAAGCTTGTCCCATCGTTGAAAGCGATCAAGACAAAAGAACCAGCCGTAATGATGGCCGCCTTGAAGGTGTTCCGACAAATTGGGACTATTGCCGACACTGAATTCCTTGCCCTGGAGGTTCTACCTATCCTGTGGACTTTCAGCCTTGGACCGTTGCTGACCCTTCGTCAATTCGAAGAATATATGACAGTAATCAAAAGCCTTTCCTCAAAGATTGAATGTGAACAGACGAAGAAATTGCGGGAGCTTTCTTCGGGGACGGACGCGACTGGCTTCCCGAGCGGGCCTGGAAGCTCTATCAATATGTCAAACAATCTCATGCAGTCTGATGTGGATACCACAAGGAATAACTTTGAACGTCTCGTTCTCGGTCGAGATGGTGCTACACCCAGCAGTCAGGGCCTTGACCCTTGGCAAGAGTTGGTTTCGCAAGCGCCAGGCCCACAGATCTCCACTCAGAAACAGGCTCCGGGTGCTTTCTCCTGGTCTTCGGTCAGCAGAGGAGATCCTCAGTCCAACCTAAATGCTCGCTCTGTCACGCCTGATTACAATATGAGCTCTTTCCCGTCATTAGAACCTGTTGCGAGACAGAAGTCTCCAATGGCCCAGACGGTCCCCGCATTGCAACCTTCGTCATCGACCACTTGGAGTCTACCAACCTCCCCAAATAGCCACCACAATGTGCAGGGTAATGGCTTCGGCAACATGACTGGTTTGTCCATGGGGGCATTGGCTGGCGTGAAGCCGCCAAACAGTCCTGTTTTAGGCCGCGCCTCACAGCAGGCCCCCAATTACTCCGCATTCGCAATCCCACCTCCTCCGTCAGCACCAAATATGGCGGCGTCGTTTGCCAGCTCTGGTGGTTCGACTCACAATGGCAGAGCTTCGTTTGTAGGGAATGTCCCGGCACCTGCCAACTCCTTCTTAAACCCCAAGTCAACCTCAATGCAGACTACACAGAAGCAAGGTCTGGACAAGTATGAAAGCTTATTATGAGTGTGTGAATTCTTACAAGAACCTTTGTTTACTTCTATACCCTTCTCTTTTCTTGGAGCTAGCTTTCGTTTCTCCTACATACTCAACTATATAGACTGCTTTCGTACGGTGACGCATGATTTCCGATGATTTTCAGTCATCGACTAAGCAGCGAGTTGTTGCTAAAAGTTATCACATAGATTGTTCTTGATCTCCGCATACGCGACGTCTTTCCAAGTGGGCAAATTTCTGTTTAGGGAGCAGCCAAATCAGCGAACATCTAGGACACATTCTCTGACTCAGCAATGGAATATCATGGCGACAGAGAAACCAGCAGTGAAGCGTAGGTTGATGTCAATATTGGTGCTGTATTTGCTCCCTACATTGATTAGCGAACAGTGGGCTCCCCCACTTGCGCCAAGAAAGGGGTCCATGTTAGTGGCCTAGCTTAGTTGCAGAGTTGTAGTCAGATCGTACATAGTTAGGTAAGTAGGTAGTGACGTCCTACACAGCTCCAAGAATGCTCCCTCTTCTAGCTGCCTTGAGGCGTCTGCCGTCGGACCACCGGTTGCTCTCCATCCACCGCCCCTCTACTACTTCTTATTTACCCCTCAGTTGTCTGCCTCGCTCTTCGCTTCTCACTCAACGATTAAATTTCTCGTCCTCAACTCCTTCCTCTTCAAGCTGCCTCCCTCTTTCAACGACTTCAGAAGCTGCATCTAATACCATGATGGATGACAAAACCAAGCAGCACTATCTAGCCGACTCACCTCCGACTGTAGTACGGCTGGAAATCAAGTCACACTTCGATAGTCTTAAGGATGCAAAGCTTAAAAAATATGCCCATTACTTGAGCAGGTTCGTCTATCTTGGCCTCTCTACAAGATATCCCCCAGTAGCTAGTTGCAGAGACATTGATTAACGAGTAGTTTGGTCGCTTGATCATAGAGCTGCTTTTGAAGGTACCCGCATCACACTGCGGCAAGTCTCACCCGAGTCGGAGCCGATCTACGATCTCATTATGTCCCTCTACAATGCCTGTAATGGAGACTGGGCCAGTCTAGCACAAAAGACAAAAGTCAGCGACGAACACCTTCGCTTCTTCCTGGAATACGCCGCTCAGTTTCTTGGAAATTGCGGCAACTACAAAGGGTTTGGTGACTCGAAGTTTATTCCTCGCTTGCCTGTTGCCGCGTTTGAGGCTTTAGCCTCCGTAACATCGGCGACAAAGGCAGCCTTTGAAAAGGCCAACAGCACCGGCGGTGGAATTTATGAGACAAGTAACCAGTCGCTTATGCATCTGGGTTATGCTGAAGGCGGCCATATGACCACCTACTATCCCGATTCTCCTTCGATCACCAAGGATGAGATTACAGCCGTTGGAGACCTGATGGAGCAGAAGGGCTTGCC